CAGAACAATGAGATGAACATCAAATGAGATCCAGTTACCAGAATTTAAAAAAATATCATTAACCTCCTAGAATTTCACAGTTCCTGAGGAGGTAATGAGACAGATCCTGGACCATGGGGATTAACTCCCTGACAGCAGCAATTACAGCAGTAAGCATTATCTCTTATTATGACTGTATTTCTCTCTCTCATCTCTATCCCTATCTGCCCATATCCACATGTCTTCCTCTCTCCCTGTGTCCTTCCTCTTCTTCTTCCCTCCTTCCATCTTTCCTCTGCTCTCTCTTCACTTCTCTCCCTCTCTCCTAATACAAGGACACATTCACAGTAACTGACTTGAGATTTTTCCCCAGGAAATTTCACATACCAGAAAAATAAGAACTTTATCATGATGTTGGATTTTGAGAGTCTTTTCAAACTATTATTAACTATTGGGTTCTAGTCACCAAATTAATACCTGATGCTGTCATAGTTCCAGGCTCTGTCAATATGACCAGAACCCTGCTTGTCACCATTCCACTGGTCCAACACCTGAACTCATTTTTTAGAAAACCCACTATGGGTATGGTGTTGTAAGCCTGCAAACCTAGCACTTAATGAAGCCTAGGCAGAAGGATCACGACTTTGAAGCTGGCATTAGCTACATATTGAGTTATGGACCAGCCTACGTAACATAAAGGTATTACTTCAAAAATATGAAACAAAAGAATGGAGGGAGGGAGGGAATGAAGGAGTTAGGGAGGGAGAGAGAGAAAGGAAAAGTTCTCAGCAAACCTGAAACCATTTCAGGGTTTCAATGTTATACCAGGTCACCTGCTTGACTATAAGCTAATATCAACACATAAGATGATTCTGTAGTTTACTGTGTACTCTCTTGTTTGGACATTCTGAGAGTGGAAAGTGAAGCTATATAATAACAATGTCTTTACAACAAATCTACATGTTTCTCTCTCATAGTTCAACATCAAGCCTTTCCTGGGCAAACCAGAATTTGCGTTCAATAACTTAACATCAGAAATTAAATTTGCAACATTTATGTGATTTAATTCCAAAAATCAGAAAGCAGTTACTGGGTGCCTCTAAACCAAACATTATAGTAGGCTTTTATTCATGTTCATAGTGTGATGCAGGGGTGTGAAATCACATGCTGAAAGTCTAGGAGCACTTGGTAGATCCTTATGGCAAGCACAGAAATTCTATTTTTTGAAGTACAGCCTGGTACTTTATCCACCAGTTAAATCACAATTGCAGATGACCTGCAGAAGTCCAGGAAATGGAACCCAGAGAATGGCCATCACTCCAAGGCACAGGTACCTGGTGAGGAGCCTCTTTAAGTGCAGAGAGAAACAGAAGGAGCAAGCGGTAATCTCAGTCCATGGAAAGAGGAAGAATATAGTGATTTAAACCCCCAATGAGATCTAACATCTCACAGGCATTTGATAAACCAAAATGTTTGCAACTCAAGCATGTTTGAAAGAAAAATTCTAAAGTTAGAGTTCAAATGAATACTTACACTTAATGACTGGATGAGCAAAAAGATGACCTTGATTCAACATTCTCTGTGTGAAAGAGGCAGCTGGACACACTCAGGAATGAAAAAGAATGCAGCGAGGTGGAGTTTGACAAAGGGCTTTTAAAGGAATCTGCTTCCTGTGTTCTTGCCAAAACAGTCTACCTTGGACCGTTAACAAACAAGTCAAAAGAATCTCTCATTATTGCATGTTTGTGACACAACGCATGTTGGGATGAATACTTAACGTCATCATATTTTACAGTTCAGGCTTCAGAGCTTTACACAGGTCAACTCCTTTGTCATGAAGCTATGAAGAGTCAAAATTAGAGATTTGAAACAACATGCGTGTGGCAGCAGAACCTGGGAACTCAGTAACCGTTATTGTCA